ATTAAAATCGCTACTGAATATAATTTATTAGAACATATGTGATTTGCACTTGTATGAAACTCAAACACGTATTCCGAATATACAAACTAGAAACATGTGGATAAATATTATAAATATGAATACCTATAACTGTTACTTTATTACAAAAAATAAAGATGTGGTTTTTGGTTCTACTACACCAATGGTCAACAGATGGCGCTGTAGTCTCCTGAATCGCGCTTTGGTTCCGTTGTTCCAGATTAATAAATACTTTTGATAGGCCTTCACAATGCAGTCGTTGGCACCCACTAAATAGAGATTCTATTTCTATTTTGTTGGTAGATTTTCTTAATGTGCGGTAAACACAAAAGTAACGCATGAAGTTGGTCGCTAAAGCCAACTTCATGCTGTTAAAATTTTGTGTTACAGTGATGCGCGCGCATCTTAAAATTTCACTCTCATCATTTTTTCATAACGCGCCTAAAGAAGTATAACTACAAAAAGTACTTAATCAGCCTATTTTTGTTGTAATTGGCCCTCGAAGGCGGATACGCTAAAAATCATTGAAACACGATTAAAGCATTTATTATTATATTTATTTATTGTGGGTTTACCTATAATGCGAAGAGATGGCGCTGCCTTGCAGCTTAAGAATAGCTAGAAGGAATTTCGACGCGGTCCGTGAGGGCCGCGGTAGCATAATTGGTCAGTGCATTCGCCCGGATTGCGAAGGGTGCGGGTTCGAGTCCCGTCTGCTGCCTGGTCCGCGTGGAATTTTTTCTAGTTATATTTTCTTTAGATTTAAAGCATTTAATTTTTTTTTATCTACTTTTTATCATTGTTATGGTAAATTAAACTTAAAAATGTAATTTCAAATTTAATTTAATTCAAATTCCCGTAAAATAACTTTAGCGTGTGTAATTTTACAACAATTTCGGTTTCATCGCTATTCTCAAAGGTCCGTTAGTTAAAACAAATCACGTCTAGGTATTATCGTTTTTTTAGCTATTCGTAATATTTTTATTCAGATTTTCACCGATCCTATTTTGGTGATTTATTGAGAAAATTGTAACAATTTAAAAAATTGGGCAGAAACCAAAGATCTCCTTTCATCCAAATCCGTTGAGGACCATTTGCGTGATTGAGTGACAAACATACAAACTTTTACATTTTTTATATTAAGTAGGATCAAAGAAAGTGTGCTGTTGCAGTGGTTAGTGCGTTTGGTGATAATTGATAAATTTTCGCAATGCCCAGTCATAAGATGGATGGAAATGCACATTATGCTGTTACTATCAGCTGCATCTGTAGTCATTAGCACCCACCAATCCGCACTGGGCCCTAGATCATGGGTCTCACACCCTATTCCATCGTGCAAGACCTGTAGCGATGAAGCAGTGAGGACACTAATAGGTCGCTTATCATGCCAACTTTATTATGATGAAGGCAGTTTGTTCACGGGTAGGAATTCACTCAAATTTAACATTACGTAAACTATTTTTTCTAAGCATTGAAAAGAAAGAGAAAATTTTATTTTATTGAAGTTATACTTCTTTAGGCGCGTTATGAAAAAATGATGAGAGTGAAATTTTTAGATGCGCGCGCAACACTGTAACCCAAAAGTAACAGCATGAAGTTGGCCGCGGGCGCGTTATGAAAAAATCATGTGAGTGAAATTTCGAGTTGCGCGCGCATCACTGTAACACAATAGTAACACCATGAAGTAGGAAGGACTAATAACTTAAATTCAGTAGTGATTTTAATTGAATATTTTGAATATTTATTTAATTTTTCAAATTAAAACTGAACTTAATTGACTGTGTTAACTATCCTTTTCCAGTCCTTTTATTATTTTATTGTAATTGTTAATTATTTGCATGCATTTAAAAAATATTTTTAATGATGCTAAAGAAGTATAACTTCTCACGCGCGTGCATAAGTTACACGCATCCATTTTTTATTTATTTATAAAGGTACATTAAACAGCGAAAGGCCAGCAAAAATGCACACAGCTGAATAACATAAGTAAACCTTAGTTACCAAAAGAAAACATATAAAGAAAAAAACATTGATGAAATAGTATTCAATCCTAGGTGATGAAACAAAGCGGGCGAAATGAATGAAAACTTGATATTACCAGTGAAAAGTCACTAATTGGGTACGAGTCTAATAAACATTCATGTATCTGCAATCAACCAAAATGAAATAAAAACATGCATAAAATTAACAATTAATATGTATAATTATATATATGTACTAGCTGACCCAGCGAACTTCGTACCGCCATAAAAAAATAGGGGTTGGTGGTAGAAGGGTGAAAATTTAGGGTTGTATATATTTTTGTATGATGTATCATAAAAAAAAATAACTAAAATTAAAAAAAAAATTAGGGGTGGATTACCCTTAATATTTAGAGCGATGAAAAATAGATTACATCCGATTCTCAGATCTACTGAATATGTATATAAAATTTCACGAAAATCGGTCGAGCCGTATCGGAGGAGTTTAACCACAAACACCGCGACACGAGAATTTTATATATTAGAGATATATATTTAAAAATTACAAGGGTACTTGTTATTTATTTATTTGGGGATGGGGGAAGGGGGAGGGGGAATCTTAAGACTTTAAGGGGCAAGTTGGTCTTATCTTAAGACTTTAAGGGGCAAGGTCATTGTTGATTTAATTTCGTAACCGCGAACAGGAAAATATTTTTTCAGCAACACTCGTCAGTATTCAGAAGACACGCGGTAGAATCACGGGGAACACGGCGAATACGTATTTTTCAATTTTTCCGCCTTCTCGGGGGGCACCTACCGGGAATTCGACGGGGTGCCAATTCCAATGAGTGCCACTGAGGTTATATGTATTGCCAATATGATGATGCGTTTCGAGAATAATAATGCTATAAATTTTATTATAAACCTGCCGAATGACGGTGCTGTGTCACATGTTTTCTGCTTATACTGTGCTATGACATGTTTATGTATTATTATCTCTTATCTATTAGACAAGTCCGTCCGTCCGTCTGTGGTGTTGTTTCAGCGGCCAAACCGTAAGAGATAGATAAAGAGAATATTTAAGTTATAAGTTAAGAATAGTCTGATAAGACTACAAACCGTATTTGAGTAACGTAGCACTTCCGGTTTTCGAGAAATCACGAATTTCAAACGAAACCACACAAAATCTCCGAAGTTCTCAATTAATTAAATACATTTTTTTTTTAAATCAGGTTTTGGTGAACATTTGGTTCACTGGTTTGCTAGTTCTTCCTATTTGGGTGAAAGCTTTTAGACACAACATATCAACATATTGTTTTAAACTTTCATAGATTGTTTCCATGTACCTTGTTTTATGCTATCGAGCGCAGTAAAATATAACGTCAGAGAGTAGACCGATATGTCTGCCAATAAAAACCACCCGCAATTATTTTAGTTACTCCATGATCGTGGCGGTTGCAACAGTGCCGAAATATCGGAGACTCATAAAAAACAAGGTACAGGGTAACAATCCCGTTAATAGTTATAATTTTAGACACAACTTGTGTTTTTGGGCAGAACACGGAGATCATTCGACTTGGAAGAAGCTGCAACGAATGGCCTTACCTTAACAGTTGTAGCTGCACGGTAGCATCAGTCTGGACCAGCTTCTATCTATATATATGTATATAAAACTCAAAGGTGACTGACTGACATAGTGATCTATCAACGCACAGCCCAAACCACTGGACGGATCGGACTGAAATTTGGCATGCAGGTAGATGTTATGACGTAGGCATCCGCTAAGAAAGGATTTTGATCAATTCTACCCCCAAGGGGATAAAACAGGGAATGAAAGTTCGTATGAAACTGTCAATTTTAAACCTATCGGGTTAAGACTTCGCATACAGGTATGAGAAGAATCATAGATGAATGTCATTGTGTACAATACAAGCCTGAGAACAAAAACTGTAGTCTACACTTCAGCTATACACCGAAGCGAAGCGAGAGCGGGCCGCTAGTTTTAGATAAGTTCCATCCTTTCTTTCCGTTTGAACGATAAAGTTGTCTTTAAGCTTAAAAATAAGCAATAAACAATGAAATCATTTGTCCTAAAGTTTATTTGTATCACATATTTTGTTATTTTTTTGTACGAAATCAACAGCTTGCTTCGTCATATTAAAGTTGCTACTTAGTTTTAAACTTTAGAGTAAGCGTTAGCATCCGTTCGAATATAAAGATGAGCATTTGTCTACTGCGCCAGCACTTGTTCCTACAGGATATCCTTATGATATGAAACGGGTTATTGGGAACATCATCATCATCATCAGCCTATTAATGTCCCCACTGCTGGGGCACAGGCCTTCCCTATGGATGGAATAGGGAGATTGGGCCATGACCCACCACGCGGGCCCAGTGCGGATTGGTAGGTGCTAACGACTGCAGATGCAGCCGGGACCAACGGCTTAACGTGCCTTCGAAAGCACGGAGGAGCTCGAGATAGTAAATTTTCGGTCACCCATCCAATGACCGACCATTGCGAAAGTTGCTTAAATTCAACGATCGCAGCGGAACGCGCCAACCACTGGCGCCATCGAGCTTCTCCATTGGGAACATAAACGGCCCAATCTCCTCATTTCATCCATAGGGAAGGCCTGTGGCACAGCATCAGTGGGGGCATTAATTTAGGTTGATGATGATGATGACCAGTGTTGCCAGGTCCGATTTTCAAAAATCGGGAGGCGTTATAGAAAAAAACAGTAGATGTATGCAAAGAGCTAGAAAAACAGTAGATGCATGATGTGGCGTACTTGTCCGATTTGCACCCCCCCCCCCCTAGAATTCTTCTAGATCAAATTTTTGAGAACAATTACATTTATTTTATAATTATGACGGAAAATGCAACTCAACAATGAAATTTAAAAAATTAAAAAATCGCAACCTAAAAAAAACAGGAGATTCATGTAGAAAAACAGTAGAACAGGAGAAATTTCAGAAAAACAGGAGACCTGGCAACACTGATGATGACTATGGGATCCTTACTTGCAGTTGTGGCTGGACAGTGACCACTAGTCTAGACCGGACCCTGAGTCTGGCGTCTCTTCTTTGTTCCCCGTACTGGTTGTGAGCTCGGCAGGTCCATACGCCACTGTCGGACGCCTGCGCGCGTCTGATGACCAGAACCTGATCCGACACTGAGATTCTGATGCTGTTGGATATGGGACTCAGTCGGCCATTGCTGTGGCGGAACCAGCTATAAGGGGGAAAAAAAAAAAATGAAAAAATGAATTATTACTTTACCATACATTTGGTTACATAAATAAAGGTAGGCTCTTTTTTTTAAGTGCAAAGACACCTGTACCAAAAAGAACCACTCTTCCATAGCATACGTTACATTATGGTAAGGTCATTAACTATATTAAGATTAAGACAAGGAATTAAATATAATAAAGCGGGAGTTACACCACAGAGCTAGTTAAAGTGAAATTTTACTAAGAATGTGTGAATGACATGGAAATTTACATTATAACAAGTTGTGCAACTCACGCTAATCAAAGCACATCTTAATTACATGAAAATACAATTTAAACAATTTAATTAAGCGGAGTGTTTGTGCATGTGTGTGTGTGCGTGTATGTGTGTGTATGCGTGTGTGTGTTTATGTGTGTGTGTGTGTTTGAAAATAAAGGGTTTTCTTTTTATCAATGCTCAGGCAACAGTTATTATTCATAATAACTTTGAGGAGTTGGTAGAATATCAAATATCTCAACCTATCCATAGAATAAAGTTACTTTTGCATAATCACAACTTTACAGTAGAGCGATTTTAAGTTTGTAAAATGTAAAATATGCTGTAACTTGTATTGGTATTTTTCTATCATTTGAATTTTTTTACTAATCATATAAAGCATTAAGAAGCAAATTATGACTAACATTTACGGCTTATATTTCGTTATTTAAGAGTTTCTTATGTGATTATGTGACAATTTACTACGGACATCTTTATGTTACATATGCATATCAGACCTTATGCTTGGGAAACGTGTCAAATTATGTGTAGATATAACTTTGTTTTACGTAATTTATATTTTCTGTCGCGTCACATTATGATAATACGGCAAAGATTGGGCAAAATCGATCAAACAAGAAAAATAGAATCAAACATTTAGTAAAAATTCTCAGTTTATAACAAAATTGGAGCCGTGCAGGCTGCGTTCTCGCCTATCCAAAAGGTTCTTGTGCTCTTGGCTCTATATTCTTCGGAAACGAAAATCACATGTACCTTTATTCAATTGCTATCTTCAAAGTTATATAAGTTTTAGAATAAATGTTTTTACCAGTAAAACATATGCGTCCGTTTCGTCTAAAAGTATAATAAAAGCAATTTTGTAACATTTTCATATGTAACTTTATTGTATGCATAGGTCGATCTATTTGCGCGGTAACGGTTTGAATGTAGAAGTAGCTGGAGTATTCTTTAATCAAGTTTTGCTTCTATGTCGGGTTTTTAAATTTGTATTGCCCTGGCTCAATTCAAAACACATTTTTAAGTTTTTTTTGGTCTGATAAATATTCCCGTCGTATTTTTAGCCCTAGCTGCAAATTAGCCAAATTTGTTAATGATATACCTGTAGGTTGGAGTAGGGCTACCGATTGCGCAGCAAACCAGGCGCACATCACCGCCTTGTGGTACGATCTCATCGTCTGATACAGCCAGCATTCGAGGTGCCATACTCCCAGTGGAATCTGGTTGAAAAATATTAAAGTTATTGACAATATTGAAAAACTAAACAAATATACTTTTATTTTTAAGTGTGTATGCTGTTGGTCGCAGATGACCTTTACAGACGGCGACATCCTAAGGGAACCTCAAGCCGAAAAATATACCAAGGTATATTGAATTCTAGTCTATGTTATAGCTTGACCGCTGTGAACCAGTGCCATGGTCGGCGGGACGCAGGAGGGGGATGCGATCGACCAATCAAACAGTAGCCTGTCAGCTGCCGCCAGCGATACACGTTCAACAGCAGAGTTCGCGCGGTTGAACCTTGTCTCCCCTACACATGAGATAAATTTACGGCATCATACAACAAAAATGTTTTTTTTATATAGATAGGTCCGACAAATGACTCCACCCCACCTGAAACATCACTTAACAAAGTGAAGGTGAAGTCCGGACGCGAAGATAGCTGATACAGCAGTTCTACCTGCCACACTAGCTATCCTCATCCTGCCGGCCTGCATGTTTCTTTATCCTAAGGGAACCTCAAGCCGAAAAATACACCAAGGTATATTAAAATCTAGCCTATATTATAGCTTGACCGCTGTAAAGCCGTGCCGTGGTCGGCGGGACGTTGGAGGGGGATGCGATCGACCAATCACTCAGCAGCCTGTCAGCTGCCGCCAGCGATACACGTTCAACATCAGAGTTCGCGCGGTTGAACCTTGTCTCCGCTACACATGAGATAAATTTACGTCATCATACAACAAACATGGAATTATAGATTCTACGTAATAAAAAGTTATAAGAAGTCAAGCAAAGATTATGCTAGTAAATGTGACGAGTTAAATAAATATATGATTGTATTTGTTTCTTAGGGTTTCACGCACATCACTCATTAAATAAAACTAGTTTTTAACGAGTTAATGCACGAAACTTTATTTATTTAATAATAATAATAATAATAATTTATTTGCCAAAATATGGTTACAATAGTTGTTATTGAAGTTGTCTCGTTGTACAGCCTTTTCAGGTCTGCATCGTCAGAAATTCTGAATAGAATAAAGTTGCTGGAGCTGAAGAAAATCAAGTTTCGTGCATTAACCCGTTAAAAACTAGTTTTATTTATATTATTGTATATTTCAATATATTTTTCCTTGTAACAATATTTATGGAAAGACTGGGTACATTATTACAAAGTCAAAGTCTATTTTTATGAGAACAAATTATAATACTGATTCATTGGTTATATCAATGCAAACGCTAACACTTTTGAGATAACAACACGACAATTTAAATATCATGAGATATCTCGCGCGTCGGCAATGCCGTGTATACCCGTTCACACTTGCCACACCGCGTCCCGCGGACTAGGGTCAGCATGGCAGTCAAGCTATAATCATCATCATCATCAGCCTATTAATGTTCGCACTGCTGGGGCACAGGCCTTCCCTATGGATGGAATAGGGAGATTGGGCCATAACCCACCACGCGGACCCAGTGCGGATTGGTGGGTGCTAACGACTGCAGATGCAGCCGGGACCAACGGCTTAACGTGCCTTGCGAAGCACGGAGGAGCTCGAGATAGTGAATTTTTGATCACCCATCCAATGACCGACCACTGCGAAAGTTGCTTAACATCAATGATCGCAGCCGAACGCGCTAACCGTGAAAAAGTAATTTGTAGGCCTTCATTAAAAACAAAATAATGTTACGGCTGTGGTAACTTTTCCTCATATCTTGTGAGGCAAAATATTCCACAATAAATACACGTGTCCATTTTCATTTTTGGTTTATTTACACTACCTCATATTTGTAAGGTCAGGACCTCATAGTTGTTCCCAATGTGTTCTTCCTCTTCTAACTTATGGAGCCGAAACCTGGACTATGACAAGGCAACATGTCCACACCATGCAAGTCGCTCAGAGAAAAATGGAGCGTGCCATGCTCGGTATATCCCTGAGAGATCGTGTACGCAATGAGGACATACGGAAACGAACAAAACTACCCGACATTGCTCGCGAACTCGCAGGGAAGAAGTGGAGGTGGGCAGGTCACGTGGCTCGCAGAACGGATGACAGGTTGAGTCCAGCTATTGTGGAGTGGCGGCCTAGAACAGGACGCAGAAACGTTGGTAGGCAGCCCGCCAGATGGTCTGATGACATCACAAGAGTAGCAGGACGAAATTGGATCCAGATCGCACAACACCGAGCAAATTGGCGCACCATTGAGGAGACCTATACCCAGCAGTGGGTGGATAAAGGTTGAAGAAGAGATATTTGTAAGGAGAGATATCACGTGTAAGCAAAGATACGTAATCACGTTGCCTTGCTTCAAGGAGGACTAATTGCTTTTAAAATAAGAGGTGGTAGGTCTGTCCCGTAAAATAAGCCCCTTTCCGATAGTGAGTCAGGTAGATAAAAGCACTAAATAATCGCCAACCGAAAATAATTTCTGTAAAGTAAAAGCATTGACCAAAATGCGAGGAAAGACATCTTTTCAAGGGCTTGGAAGTGCTGTGGTCAAAGCTGTGAGATATTATCGGAACATTGTAGTTTTGGTAAATACTCACGTGACACCGAAAGCATAGCTGGTGGACTTCGCCTCTTCTCCCCCGTGAGAGAATGGAGAGCTTCACAGGAGTATGTGCTGGGGTCGTCTAACCTGGCCTCTCTTACCACCAAGATGTCGCTACGGCTACCACCGACGATGAATTGGTCTCCTAAGAACAACATCATAAAGCTTATTTAGAATTCATCAAGAAGTCTAAGTTTGAAATGAGGAATTACGATATTATTACTGGCATAAGCAGAACAAATAGACCAGATCCCCGACCACAAATACTGCCACTCATTTAGTTGTATGTATGGTAGGCCGTGGAGTGCCGGCATAGAATATTGCACCTCCCCATCTCTTCCCGTGGGTGTCGTAAAAGGCGACTGAGGGATCACCAGGAGAACGGGCAGCAGCGTTCTCCTGAGTAACATTACATCTACTGCGATCGCCTACCCGCCTGCCAAGCGTGGCGATTATGGAAATAACCCCCCAAATGGACCGCGCATTGTGGCGTTCCATGGGGGAGGCCTATGTCCAGCAGTAGACGGAGAAAGGCTGATGGATGGATGGATACAACTTTCTCTACTATAAGTGGCTATTCGTACTCTCGTCCTTATTTTTCAAGCTAACTACGGAAGACATCCGACACATGCTGAGTGGACTGCCTTTTTAGTGACGCAAATGTCTAGACCTAGTATATTGTATTTATGTATAAGGTATATCGTTTTCATGTACTATTTTTGTCACTGAATAAAACATTTTCTTTCTTTCTTCTTAAATGAGTGGCAACATTTCCTTTTCATTCCACGTAACCCGAAATGATTCAAAACTACAACCTGAAAAAAAAAACCATAAACTAAACCATGTTTAGGCATAATTTGTACAGCATATTCTTCTTAAACCCGTGTTAAACTTCTTTGAGAGATATTTCCACAGTTCTTTAATCTTCAATCTTCTCAACGTAAAACTCTTAAGATTTTGGTCCTGGTCAAAATTATACAAACCGAAGCCTTTTTAATCAGGTTTAGCTCCTTTTTAAACAAATGTAGTACGGGAAAACCGTAACATAAAAAGTTACGGCTGCTATTAAGGCAGTCAAGTCAACTCGGCTTTAAAGAGAATAATCCGGCAGTAACATAAAGATACGGTGAAGCAATATGGCGTCCGTTCTGTCTCTTTAATCTAATCATTATTACTTACAAACGATAAGTACCTATTTGTTTCACATCACTCATTAAATAAAACTAGTTTTTACGGGTTAATGCACGAAACTTTATTTATTTATTGACGTTTCGCAGCCTTTTCAGGTCTGCATCGTCAGAATAATGACTTTATTTAAAATTGTCGAGCTACCTTCGAAAGAATTATATTGTGCGTTCGGTTATTTCATTGGAAGATTTTTAAAATTTTATTGTCTATGTATGAATTTAATATTTAATTTACTTAATAAAGTATTTTATTTAAAATTCTTGTTTGTAATTTTGAGTTTATTTATTTGACCCTAACTACCGTAAACTACCACCGGTTCCAAAATTGGGAGACCTTCCTGAGAAGAACCGGCGAAACAAACTCAAGAGAGGCTTTCTATCTCCTTCTTATGTTAAATTATGCAAACAAAAAGAACTAATAGTATCTGATGGTCTTGCAGTGTGTGCTCGGGGTTGGGATTTTATCTCCTGTATAATAGGTTCCCAAGCTGGTGGTATATACCAACCATCTTCCCTATTGAAATTTGGATATTTTTTAATCTCAATAGCCTCGCGCATCATTCGAGGAACGAACCGCCGCTCAGCTGCAAGGATCTGTGGTCTATGTGCAGTGTGTGAACATGCATTAGGGGGACCAAACCACTACATTAGATTTGATAGACCACAGATCCTTGCAGCTGAGCGGCGGTTCGTTCCTCGAATGATGCGCGAGGCTATTGAGATTAAAAAATATCCAAATTTCAATAGGGAAGATGGTTGGTATATACCACCAGCTTGGGAACCTTTTATACAGGAGATAAAATCCCAACCCCGAGCACACACTGCAAGACCATCAGATACTATTAGTTCTTTTTGTTTGCATAATTTAACATAAGAAGGAGACAGAAAGCCTCTCTTGAGTTTGTTTCGCCGGTTCTTCTCAGGAAGGTCTCCCAATTTTGGAACCGGTGGTAGTTTACGGTAGTTAGGGTCAAATAAATAAACTCAAAATTACAAACAAGAATTTTAAATAAAATACTTTATTAAGTAAATTAAATAATAAATTCATACATAGACAATAAAATTTTAAAAATCTTCCAATGAAATAACCGAACGCACAATATAATTCTTTCGAAGGTAGCTCGACAATTTTAAATAAAATCATTATTCTGACGATGCAGACCTGAAAAGGCTGCGAAACGTCAATAAATAAATAAAGTTTCGTGCATTAACCCGTAAAAACTAGTTTTATTTGATAAGTACCTATTTATATTTATTTTATAACTAGCAGCCCGCCCTCGCTTCGGTATAGTGCTGAAGTGTAGACTACAGTTTTTTTACTCAGGCTTGTATTATACACAATGACGTTCATCTATGATTCTTCTTATACCTGCATGCCTCAGTCTCAGCCCGATCGGTTTCAAATTGAAAAAGTTTCATACAAACTTTTATTCCCTATTTTATCCCCTTGGGGGTAGAATTGATCAAAATCCTTTCTTAGCGGATGCCTACGTCATAACATCTACCTGCATGCCAAATTTCAGCCCGATCCGTCAAGTGGTTTGGGCTGTGCGTTGATAGATCACTATGTCAGTCAGTCACCTTTGAATTTCATATATATGTTACCGGCCAAACCCGATTTCAGGACAAACTAGTTTTGCCTAGGCTAAACTGCTTCTTCCTATACGCGATAGGACTAACTAGTATAGCCTAGTCCAAACTAATTTGTCCTAAGCCCGATAGGATAAACCAGTTTAGCCTAGGCCAAAATAGTTTATCCTGATACAAATACGCATACTCTAGGATAAAGTAGTATGGCCTAGTCTAAACACTATAGTATATCTAGAAAGTCAAAATAAACAGATAAACTGAATAAAAACTCCGTAATTGGAAAAATAATATTTTTTTTAAAACGATAATGATTCATCGTTTAAAGTTATTGATAATTAGTAATACAAACAATTATACTATAACAAATAATATGTGTTTTTTTAATAGAAGCAATAATCATATCTCAATTATTAAAATTGTTATTTAGTTTTACATGGTGTACTTTGGTGGCACTTAGAATTGCAGAGTATCATTGCCTTCTCGCCTTCTTGAATTGCAGAGTATCATTGCCATCATTGGCATCTGTTTGTGGAACATTTTTATTGCAGCTGCATCTCACAAAACAGAAGGCCTATTACTTATGTGTTCAAGTGTACCCATGCGCATAAACACTCCCTCCACTTTCTTCCAGCGTTCTTTTTACATGACGCAACCTGTAAAAGTCCTGACATGTTTGTTCAATTACTTTCGACTCTGCTAAATTGGTTTAGGGCCGTAGGGACGTAGGCCGTACTAGTTTATCCTAGAGTGTGAGTATTTATATCAGGATTAACTAGTTTGGCCTAGGCTAAACTGGTTTATCCTATCGGGCTTAGGACAAATTAGTTTGGACTAGGCTATACTAGTTAATCCTATCGCGTATAGGAAGATCTAGTTTAGCCTAGGCAAAACTAGTTTGTCCTGAAATCGGGTTTGGCCGGTAACATATATAGGTAGAAGATGTGCACAAATTATTTCTACTGCTCAAACTATTTACCATTACATTAAAGGAGATCAAATTAATAGTATAACTTAGAGGGTACAAAATAGTTGAGTTTTAAATGTTATTCTAAAATTTACTTTAACGGACATACTGGTAGATAATGTTACTTCTTAAAATTTAAATATATTGTTACGTGTCGGGATGGGGTTCGAAATTATATGCCAGTTCACGCTTGACAGTTCTTTATTCACCACACAGTTCACACAATTAACACACAATGTTAATTACCAAACACTCACTAAACACTGTATTTCACTATACAAGTCTCTAAACAATCGCACTTGAACACTTTTGTTGCACTTTGATTGCCTTTGGATTCGCTCTGAAATCGCTGTTGAAACTCAACTGCCTCTGCGCGACGCCAATCGCGCTTATATACGCCGATCGACGCATTCTAGAAAGTACCTGTTCAATTGAGAATTAGCTAGCACCCGCGAGTACAAAGTACCTACGCAGGTAACGCGCATAACTTGTAAACAAGTGCAGATGTCGTTGCACTTTCTCCCTTACGCCGCACTGCATAAGGCTCATTTTAGAATGAGCCGCAATAATCGACCTCTATCGCGACCCGCGGTGCTCTGGCACATTCGATCTCTAGCACTTTCACGGTTCCGTTTCGAGAGCGTTTGTGACAACATTTTTTCCTGTTTCATTTGAGTTTTCAGATTTACTTCAGTATTCATAATACTTGTGTTGATTAAAACCTAAAAATAATTAATTCATTTTAAAGTTTCCGTACCTTAAAAGCGACAAAAGGTATCCTTTTAATTATGCCTCCATTGCCTGACTCACTTTTAAAATGGAAATAAGTAGACATGTGAAATTATCACAGAATTCGTGTTACTGTGCTGTGGCTGCATATTATCTCTTATCTATTAGACAAGTCCGTCTGTCTGTGGTGCTGTTTCAGCGGCCAAACCGTAAGAGATAGATAAAGAGAATATTTAAGTTAAAAGTTAAGAATAGTCTGATAAGACTACGAACCGGATTTGAGTAACGTAGACCTTCCGGTTTTCGAGAAATCAGGTTTTGGTGAACATTTGGTTCACTGGTTTGCTAGTTCTCGTATAAAGGACTAATTATAATAAATTATAAGACAAAATTAAGACTTTTAATGTAGGTACTATTACAAATTGCTGACTCTTATATATTTTCTGCTTTTTCGATTTGTTTTATAATTCTTATTACTATCTAAACAATAATAAGATTGCGTAGCGTAGTCAGTCCGTGCGTGCAATGCAGTGCAACGCTATTATTTTACTATTTCGCTACTGCCATGCCTTCGGTCGAGACAGTCGGCGACTGCCCTCTCCACGCCCCGCGCGCCGCGCAACGCCCCCGCGCACCTCCAGACACCCACACATAGCCGCGGCCGATTTCACGAGC